ATTCGCTTTAGGGGCTGGTCTGGCTTCTGGTGGTACCAGTGTATACATACATTCTTCTTGAAGGTACTGGATTTTATCTGGCATTCAAGAAATGCTGTTTTTCCTTTTTTCTTGGTGACGGATGTTACAAGTTGTGTTATAAGATTGTCTCCGCATGTATCTGAAAGAAAAACCAAAAATTTTGAAATTTTTCAATATGAAATGTTGATGTTGACTAAGATAGTATGTTTGTTTTCTGTTAAGGGAAAGCTTGGGTGTGAAGTTTACATTTTCTTCCTGAAGAACTCAAGGTAATGGTGGAATTTATCAACTTAGCTTGAATTACCATGTGGCTTTGTTCCACCTGAAAATAGTGTGATTTAAGTATCCACACTTAGGTTGATTTATGTCTTTGCTATTGTGAACAGTGCTGCAATAAACATACATATGCATGTGTCTTTAAAACAGAATGATTTACATTCCTTTGGTTATATACCCAGTAAAGGGATTGATGGGGATACCATGGAATACTATATAGCCATAAAAAGAACAAAATCATGTCCTGTACAGGGACATGGATGGAACTGGAGGCCATTATCCTTAGCAAAATAACACAGGAGCAGGAAACCAAATACCACATGTTCTCACTTATAAATGAGAACTGAATGATGGGAACACATGGGCACATAGAGGGGAACAACAGAAACTGGGGCCTATCAGAAGGTGGAGGGTGGGAAGAGGGAGAGGATCAGGAAAAATAATGAATGGGTACCAGGTTTAGTATCTGGGTGGTGAAATAATCTGTACAAAAAAACCCCATGACACAATTTAACCTATATAACACACCTGCACATGTACCCCTGAACTGAAAATAAAAGTAAACATTAAAAATAAATAAATGTCCACACTTTCTGTGCCTCCCTTCCAATGAGCGAGATGTCCCTTGGGTAAAGCAACTCACACGTCCACAGGGAGGCCACCAGGATGCCTGGTAGCAGGAGCAGCATTCTGCAAGCTCTTGTCCAGAGAGGTGGCTGAACACGGGGTATTCTAATCACAGAGAAAATCTGAGGTCTGAGATGGCAGGAGGAAGTGCGCTCTGAACACACAGCTAAGACCCGTAGACTGCAGGGGAAGGGACCCATGCTATTTTACTCAAACATCCTGTGAAACTGGTTTTCTAACTCAGTGTTTCAACGGATTTCTCATTGCTGTGTGATTTTTACTATCTGAAAATGTTTGTGTAAAGAGCCATTTTCTTGCTAAAATATAAACATTTTTTATTGGTCTAAAACAGAGAGGGAGAGAGAAAAAGAGAAACCCTAAAGTCTGCCTTTGAGGTGCCTCGGGGGCAAGTGTTCTAACACAGTTGCTCTCACTGCACATCAACACCTAGATCCACTTAGCTGTGGATCTAGGCTAAGGTAAGAGCTAACTTACGTATGACCCAGGTTTCTCCTGTAGACAGCCAAGCCAGAACAAACTTATTTCAGATTCTCTTTCTTTTGAATGTTACCATTAAATGGGAACCTTACAGAGGTTGTGTCCTTGAAGTATACTTCTAAAGCAAAACATTTTTATACATTTTAAAAACAAGGGCCATTGTTATTTCCTATCATAAAACAAGTGTAGATTCAGTAGGGGTCATAAAGAAACATAGAGGAGAAAACAGTCACTTTTTGTCCCCACTAACCAGAGGCAACTACTATTAACAGTTTGGTGTATTCCCTTACAGGCTAATATCTGCTCATCTTTTTCATTTGCTTCACATAGATATAAGATGTGTGCTCGATTTTAAGCTCTGTCTTTGTAACTTAAGATAACACCAGGAATATTTTTCTGTTCTGTGGTTACTTTCTTATCGTGTTCTGACACTTAGCAAGATTCCCTGGTTCACCACCATGCTGACCATCAGATCACATAGGGGTCTGCAGATTTTATTTATTTTACATGGCCAGTCCCACAAATTACAGGAACAGAAGAACAAGAAATTATTATTTAATTGATCACTTAGATTTTGAACTTCTATGAGGTTCCTGTTGCTCATTTAGTATCTAGTTAATGAAAGTAACTTAATTCTCTGCCTTCCTTTTCTTAACATCACTTCCTTACTCTCCTACTAGTCTTCCTGTATCTCCCAAACAAACTAGTTGTCCTTAAAGCCTGAGGCTCACTTCCCAGGGGAACTCAAACTAAGACCGGTTGACTGGGTCCTTTTCAATAAAGATGCCCTCCCGGTTGTTATAACAGCTCCATGTCCCTCCAGACCTAAGAGTAGCAAGGACTTTTGTGTTGCAATAGCCCATTTGAGTAGTTAGGACAGAGACAATGTTGTCCCCTGACATGGAATATATTTACTATTGGGCCCTTTACAAAAATAGTTTGCCAACTCCTGTTTTAGAGCAATTAAAAAATAATATTTAAAGAACAATGTTTTACCTTCATTTATTCTATTTCCAGTGCTTATCATTTCTTTGTGTGAATTCAAGTTTTTGACCTATATCATTTTTTTGCCTGAATGACTTCTTCTAACATTTCTTGTGAAGTGCATCTGCTGACAATGAATTCTCTCAGTTTTTGTTTTGTCTGAAGCTGTCTTTATGCCAAGTGACAGTTTTTTAATTCAACACTTTGAAGATTTCACTCCAATGTCTTCTTGCTTGTATAGTTTCAGATGGAAAATCTGCTTTTTTTCCTCTAGCTACCTTCAAGAGTTTCTCTTTATTTTTGGCTTTCAACAGTTTAAATATAATATGTCTAGGTATTTTGTTTTGTTTTTAATACTTATCCTGGTTGGTGTTTTCTTAGCTTTTTCGTTCTGCGGTTTAGTGTCTATCACTACATTTGGAATACTCTCAGCCATTAGTTTTCCAAATATTTCTTCTGCTCCTTTGTCTCTTTTGTTTCTGGGATTCTAATTACAAACATGTTTGAAAATACAATATTGTCCACAGTTCTGTCCTTCCATGAAGATATGCTTTCTCTTCTATTCTTTCTTTCTCATCTCCTTCCATTGCAGTTTGGGTCATATCTAGTGGCCTATTTTTATGTTAACCAAGTCTTTCCTTATCTCCATAGGGTCTACTGGTGAACCCTTCAAAGGCATTCTTGATTTCTGTTACTGTGGGTTTTTTTTTCTTTTTTTATGTCTTGCATTTTCATTAGATTTTTAAAATGTAATTGCTCTCTTTTTGCTGAAATTCTCTGTCTGATCTTGCATGTTGTCTACCTTTTCCATTAGAGCCTTTAACATACTCAGCAGTTATTTTCAATTCCCTGCCTGACAGCTCAGACATCTGAGTCATATCAGAGTCTCATGCATATGATTGCTTTGTGTCTTCAGACTGTGTTCCTTCTTGTTTTGGGGTAAGGTACTTAGATTTTTTTTAATGAAAGGGGACTGTGTTGTATAACACGGAAGATAATGAGATAATTATATTTGATGCTTAAAAATGCCTACATTGGACAGGCATGCTGGCTCACACCTGTAATCCCAGAACTTTGGGAGGCCACCGTGGGCAGATCATGAGGTCAAGAGATCGAGGCCATCCTGGCCAACATGGTGAAACCCCATTTCTACTAAAAATATAAAAATTAGCCAGGCGTGGTGACACATGCCTATAGTCCCAGCTACTCAGGAGGCTGAGGCAGGAGAATTGCTTGAACCCAGGAGGTGGACGTTGCAATGAGCCAAGATCAGCCACTGCACTCTAGCCTGGGAGACAGAACAAGACTCTGTCTCAAAAAAAAAAAAAGGAAAAGAAAAGAAAAATGCCTATATCTTTCTTTCTGCCAGACCTTTAGTGTGGGAGTTTGTGTTAATCTAATTAGGAGCAAGACTGGGTTAGAAATTTATTGTTTCTACTAAGTTATCTGGACTGGAGTTTGTTCTTCGTAGGACATCAGAGACTTTAGATTTCTCTTATCATCTCTTGTTCTTGGCTTTGAGCCTTCCCTTTGTTCTGCTCCTCAGAGACAGTCCTGTCTTTTGAAGCTCTCTTCACTGCATTCTACTATTGCTTTTACTCAAGATAGTATGGTGGTGAGAGGTGAGGAAAGGAGACATTATCTATTTTCATTCAGCTTCTGTCTTAAACAGGCAGGGTCAAACCGGGACTTGAGAATGTACCTTCGCAACCATTGCTGCTCCTATTCCAGAGGTGGCACATTTCCAGTCATAGGAGACAACCACCAGTGCCTTGGGCTATGCTTTTCATACCCACCCTCCTGCAAATTAAAACTTGTTACTCTGTGGAGATATGGATGAAGTATTGGGCACAGTCAGTAGCGGCCTCCTTTTCCCTCCCTCAACTAAAATGAAATTCCATGGAAACCTTCTCTTGCAGACTAAGTCCTTCTTCTACAGTAGAGAGGAGGTGGGGTAGGTCTGGGTGAATTTCAGCAGTGGCTACTGTTCCCCTCCTACAGCCAATACCAAAAGGGGAGCTTTCTGTGGATTCTCCATGCTCTTCCCTGCAAGAGCCTGGTAGGATTCCTGGAGAAAAAATATAAAAGATGGTGGGAAATTCCTTAAATTTGTGGCCCCCAAGAGCTCACACTCTCCCACTAGTCTGCACTCAGCCTTTATAATTTCACTAAAATGTCTAGTTTAATCTCCTATCAGTTTGCTTTCTAGCTGTAGAGACCAAATATTAGATGCCATTTTTACTTCCTCTCTCAGAGTCAGGACACAGCATGGTTACGAGGACAGACACTGAAGCCAGAACCCCAGCCCCTCCCCACCCGAGTTAGAACTCTGTGACCACAAAGTAAATCACATCGCTCTGCCTCTGTTTCCTCCCCTGTAAGATGAGAATCGCAACAGACCAATGTGAAAAGATATCCCAAGGAAGAGATGAGTTACACTTAAAGGATTTAGAGCAATGCCCAAGAGGGAGCAGAGTACCCTGAATAAACGGCTGTTGTGATCACAGGCAGAAGCCGGGAAGAGGATCCATCCTGGTGGGTATCCGCCTTGTCAGTGGATCATCTAATGCCCCCTCCCTTCCTTAGGAGGATCTGAGACCTGTGCAAAGGAAGTGTGCTGGCTGGGCTGTAGCAGGATCCCTCAGAGTGGAATGAGCCTGAGGAGAGGGCAGGAGCTTCATTCCACACTCACTCCCAGCATGAGTGGAGCAAATGAATGCTAACTTCTTCAGGTCACAGGACACTGCTGAGGAAACATGGGCATTTGGGGTTTAAGAAGGTATTTTATCTTTCAAATTATTTCATATTAAAGTGGAAAAGAATGAAGATGACGTTGCAAAAGTATTGCAATGGTTATATAAGATGTGTGAGATACCCAGCATGTTTCCTGCCACTCAGTGATTCCCTCTTTGAGTCTGGATCGTATAAACTTACACGTAATTCCTGGACTGTGAGCACAGAGTACACTGATTTCTGTATGTCCTAATGTGTGAACATAATCAAGTTTCCAGAGGTTGAGGGGGAAGTCCTGGAAGGTGCAGTCCAACCCTCACAACCTGCTGAGCCTGTGCTCCTGTTACAAGGGGGCCGGTACACGCAGACCTAAAGAGGGATTCTGTGCGGGTGTCCTGACATCTCTCATCTGTGATTCCAGCAAGCGCATAACTATCCCCATTTCCTTGTCCTGAGATTTTATCTTACAGGTCAAAACAGATCTAGGAACATCATTTTCAGCTACAGCCCCTAAGTGAATTGAGCAGGTCATGTGTTGAGGAAAATGCATTAAGTTATGCTTCAGCCAGTGTAAGCGGTTAGATACCACCCCGGATAGTATTTGGACTTTTAATAGTTTTCTCTGGAAATTAATATTTCAGGTTGCTCCAATTTATTCTATTCAAAACAAGCTGTAAGCAAAGAAGAGAAATCTGTATGAAAACCTAAGGTATAAAGATGCACCATTAAAGAATTTCTTTGTTCTCTCCTCAAGAGTTAAAATGATGGGGAACACGTATGAGGCCAGAGAGAGGAGAAAATGATGTTTCCAGCAACGACATCCTGCTGTGTCCCAAGGAGAAGGCAGGGAAGTGTGTGCTTGATGGCCAGTGGCTCAATAATCACAGCAGTAAGTGATCTCACCTTCCTTTTTGTGAAATTTACTTTTAGGTTGAAGTGGAAGGATGAGCATCATTGTAACCACAACACCTAATGGACCCCGAGCAGGTGCGATTGTCAACACACATCCGATGCTGACTTTGGTTTTAGTTGACACCAGTTTTTGACTTCATTTTCAGTCTTGGCTGGATATTTTATGAGGTATAAAAGCATCACTATCTTTTGCCTTGGGCATTTTAAATTTGTGCCAACTTTAACTCCCCGAGAATAACTGTAAGCAAAGAAAATTAATTCTTGTGAACACCTGATATGTAAAGATGAAGTGATAAAGAATTTCTTCACCTGACATACAAAGTGAAATGACTGAGGAGCAATCCCCAAGGTGAATCTCTACATGCTCCTAGTGCTAACATGCTCTGGTCTGCGAGGCTGTGTTCCCAAGGAGAAACAGGAAAGTGAGGATGCCTGTGCCTAGAATGTTTAGTGTGTGGCAGGGGTAGCTTGGTCTGAGCAGGTGTCAAGGAAAGAAGTAGTGGGTCACAGTGACTCCCTGACAGCCCTCTCTGTAGAGTGCAGCATTGTCAGGTCTGAAATGGTTGGCCCTCTAAATACTCCAGTGCCCAGGAGATCTGGCAATATGGTGATGGTTAGAGGAGAGCTCTTCCTATGAAGGGTGAGGTGTGGGTGAGTGGTGACAGTGGCAATTAACTTCATTTTCTCTCCCCTTTCCTGTTCGCTCCTATTTCATTTTTCAGCAGCCTTAGTGATATGAGGATATGTGATATGTGGATATGAGGATATAGTGATATGTTTTTTGTGCGTGAAGCAAAAGTTACTCTTCTTGTGGGTTGACTGTGGATCTAAAACTCAAGGTTATAAAAGACCTGTATTTCTCACTATATAAAATACTGAAAATTTGTGCTGATTTTATAACAAATTTTATAAATGAAAATAAAAGTACATATACGTGGACTGTTGAGTACATTTTTTTTAATTAATTGGGATGTTGTCAGCTATTTCAGCCCCAGAGAGGCCAAACATCAGCTCAATATTGCTCTCCAGAAATTAGAGAGGACACTAGATAAAACCATCCTATGGAAATGGGATTGTCTTGCACTTGTCCCAGACTGTGGAGCTTATATCTTGAACACTTTGGTCCTTAGACCCCCACTCCCCACACCATAGTATGTAGGAGGGACCTTCTGAAAAGAGCTTCTGACTCAGTAGGCCTGGGCTGAGGCTTGACTGACTAGATGTAAAAGAAGCTCCTAAGTGAAGCCAATGCTGCTGGTTCACAAATCAAACTTTGAGTACCAAGGACTTAGAGTATTAGCCTAAATAATTTTATTTTCTAATGTGCAATAATAACTCATAGGATCAATGTAGTGCTTCAATTTGTTGAGCATTAGGCATGCCCTAAGCACTTGCAAGAACTTTATTTGTATTATTTAAGTTACTTTTCTCAATAGTTTATTCGAGTAATTATTATTACGTTCTCCATTTTACAATCAGGAAAATGAATCAAACATAGGCTAACTAATTTATCTAAAGTCACACAGCTAATATGGGGAGGATGGATGTGTAACAAATGGTCATTAAAGAAACATCGAGAAATTGGGAAACACTAAATATGAATAAATGTCACTCATGAGTATTGTCACTCTAGGGCAGTGACTGAAAATCATTTTCTGTAAAGACCCAAATAGTAAATATTTTGGGCTTTGCGGGTATCTGCTGTAGCTACAGTCATCTCTCAGAATCTGCAGGGGATTGGTTCCAGGACTCCCAGCAGATACCAAACTCCATGTATGCTCAAGTCCCTGATATAAAATGGCATAGTACCTGCATGTAACAAATGCACATCCTCCTCTATACTTCAAATCATCTCTACATTACGTATAATACCTAATACAATGTAAATACTATGTATGTAGTTGCTATATTATATTGTTTTTATTTATATTATTTTTATTGCTGTATTATACTTTTTTATTTTTTTCAAATATTTTTGATCCACAGTTCGTTGAATTCACAGATGTTTAATGCATAGATGCTGAAGACTGACTGTACTCTACCATTCGAGTGCAAAAGCAGCTAGCAAAAACAACCATAAACAATATATAAATAAATAGGCATGGCTGTATTTCAATAAAACTTTATTTACAAAACTGGAGCTTGCTGGTCATAGACATAGTTTGCTGAACTTCTGCTCAATAATAACCAGTATTATCATGAAGGTTGGTATTTTTGTTTGTTTGTTTGTTTGTTTCTGAGAGCTATAGAGTAGTTATATGATTAAGTGGAAGAACATAAAAATAATTTTAAGTGTGCCATATATAGTTGTATTTTACATTGTTGTATAAACAATTTCATTATCAAGTGCATAAATCAATAAAATATTGAAGCCATTATGGCATACAGCTTTAAACGTAGTAGCAGCTTTTAGTTACAATGTGTAAAATCTGTGCAAGTATCAAGAAGATGTTAAAATCACCCATGCTTTCAGAGACACCCACTCTTTAAACTTTGGAGAAATTTTTTCCTTTTGCTCTTTCTTCAATATATACATGTATGTACATGAGAGCTTACTATTTAAATCAGTTCTGTGTTCAATATCCTCCTTGATAATATATGGTGAATATTTTCAATTTTACTTATAATTCTTGAAAAACACTGTGCTTAATTGCTACATAGTATTTCACTACTTTAAATTCACACAGATGAGGTGTCTTTCCTTCCTGTTCCTCATTCTAGTGTGTCTCTAAGTTTTCTTCCCCATAAATCTCCCAGGAGTATCTTGAAAAGTCAAAGTGGCTTCATCTTCTAAGACCTGACCTTGTATGGCCACTATGGTCACTTTACACTGCTCCTTTGAGGATTAAATAAAATAATCCATGTAAAATACTTAACACTGGGATTGTGAAAAGCTGAATTCCATCTTTTCACTCACCTATTTCTGGAAAGGTTGATGTTCTCAGGCTCTGTATTTCCTTAACAGTCTTCTTACCTTTGCTTCTACGTATGCATCAGGTGAGAGGTGAGGTCTCTTGAGACTCACTCAGGCGTCGGGTCATTCTCCCTGTAGACCACCATGGTCAGGAATCATGGTGGACAGAATGTGGGACTCCAGATTCTGAGTCTGCCCCTGGAAAGGGGCTGATCTGCCAGGGAGGCTCCTGGTATTCCCTCACTGGGCTTTCAATAGCATCTCTCCTCTTACCCTATCAGCATGGTACAAGCTGATCCTCAGAAGGGAGAATGGGGAAAAAATACATTGCAATTACTTCAAGGACTGTAAGTAGATTGCATGCATGGCAATATGCTGTCAGATATCCATAGTACTAAAGGTACCAATAGGAGAAAATTTTCAAAACTAAGGATTTTTCATCATTAATTTCTTTGTTGTTTGAAAGTGAGTTTCAAAGAAGTGAGAGAGGACTTTTACAGTTTTGCAGTTTACACTTTGTTTCATTATTTTTTGAAAGTTCCCAACTACCCAATGATTAATCATGGAATACACATAAAATAATTGCTAATCATTATTTCTTATTTATTAATTTATGAGGGGTATCATGGTTATTTCCTTTATCGATGCAGAGAGCATGTATTATCTTTCTGCTTAACTATCTAATCTTATTTTACTCAGGAGTTTTAGTTTTCTTTGCAGAACCCTGAAAGACAAGATCTCCAAAGCATAGCCCCCACCCTGAGATCCCCCACTGTGCCTAGGAGCTGGGTTCCAATGCACAGTGCTTGTTTTGTTACAGCACTAAGCCCTGAGTGTGAAGTGAGCTGCATGCTCTTCCTCTAGGACACAGGATTTATACTTTCATCTGTCATATAACCCAAACAGCTGATTGTTTACTTATAGATCTACTTACTTGTCCCTAGATTTCTTCAGGAAGGCCTCAGGGTGCTAATAAAAAGCATACAATTACTATGTTTGACAGATCATTCTAACTTTGAAAACCTCCAATGCAATTGAACCAAATGGGAAAATAGTGATAAGAACAGGGAATATCTATGTAAAATATATACCGCTTCCTGCTTTCATTCTGAACCATTTAGTTACTAGAAATCTCTACGTAGTGAATTACTAGACAGATGAATTTTGCTGTAAGCCACCCACCCTGTATTTTCAGAGTTCCCAGATATCCTAATGTTGTGGGAAATAGTGTCAAACTGTTCCTAATTCGGATCCTAATTGCTGACACCGATATGGGATTGGGGGAGGGAAGTGCTGGGAAGGGAAGGGTGTGGTCCCTGTCGAGGGCTCCACCCCCGGGCCTGTGTCCACGGACCTCGGTGAGGACAGGCACTCCTGCCTCGGAGCCCAAATGTTGCATTTCCTAAGACCACCCTGGCCCACCACGCCCCCATTCTGTGCCTATAAAACCTCCGAGACCCTGGCGGGCACACACAGAAGTGGTTGGACATCGAGAGGAACACCGCTGTGGAGGAGCACACCTACGGGGACTGGCAGGCTGCAGGAACAAAGCAGAGTTTGGCCGGGGTGGCTGGAGGAAAGCCCGGCCGCTGAGCTGTCAACTCCAGGGGAAAACCACCTTCCCACTCCATCCTTCTGGTTCCTCCATTTGCTAAGAGCTGCTTCCACTCAATAAAACTTTGCACTCAGCCTGGCGCAGTGGCTCACGCCTGTAATCCCAGCACTTTAGGAGACCAAGGCGGGCATATCACGAGGTCAGGAGTTCAAGACCATCCTGGCTAACACGGTGAAACCCCGTCTCTAGTAAAAATACAAAAAGTTAGCCAACCGTGGCGGAGGGCACCTGTAGTCCCAGCTACTCGGGAGGTTGAGGCGGGAAAAAGGTGTGAAGCCGGGAGGCGCAGCTTGCAGTGAAGGAGATTGCGCCACTGCACTCCAGCCCAGCCACAGGGCGGACTCCGTCTCAAAAAAAAAAAAAGAAAAGAAAAGAAAAGAAAAAATGTGCACCCATTCTCCAAGCCCACATGTTATCCAATTCTTTCAGTACACCAAGGCAAGAAACC